CTAACGGTGAATTAAACGGCTTTCAAACATCCGCAGAGCAAACGTAGAAGATCCTAACAAACCGTGGACTCCAACAAGTTCAACAACACATCGAGACTCTTGGAGGTTTTCATCTTTTCTGCTGTGAATGGCCCAGGAGTTTCCACCAAGTCATTGTGGATATCACCAAAGTGAATATTTGTCCAGGTAGTTGGCGATTCTGACCAGAAATTTGGTTTGTTCCACCTTTTGTCGGGGTTGAAAAGGTGATTTGGCTCCGTCGATGCTTATGACCAATTTCTGGTCAAATGGTCTTGGGTCCTCTGCCGTTAGAGTGGATAAATAACCGGGATCAATACCCTTTACGTGTTTTCTCGCTCCGTCCGTCATGTTGAATTAGTGTTTCTTGCTGCCGACCAAAATAATTCCCAGCATGCAACGCGCGCTTTTGTCAACAATGAAACTCACCTATACGCTAATTAGCATAAACTGTTAGTGGTGATAAAAACACTCGCTCCTTGTGCCGCTGATGCGATCAGCTTCTTTTGGACTAAAAGACACGACTCTGTGGATTATGTGTGTTCTTTTTGTGACAGAAGAGGCACTAATGATGGTGAGTCTGTTCTGTGTGTATATTGTGTTGGAGATAGTTCATGTTTTAGCTTTTCAGCGTCACACGAGTGCAGATTGTACGTGTGCAGGTTTAGAGCAGCTCTTAATTTTACAGTCATTTCATTCATTTGGTCACTTTATTTATGTCGCTACTGTCGTGGTGAAAAGGCTGGAAAGTGTCTTTTGGACGCATGTGCACTCAACTTTATGTTGCAGTAACCAGGATACTGCGTTTACATGCCACAGTATCCCTGTTACTATCGGAATAAACCAGCTACAGTAACCCGGTTTCTAATAACTGGGATACTGTCATAAACGGGTTACTGCGTAAATATGCACCATGAAGAAACCGGGATACTCAAAAAACCCGATCATAACCGGGTTATTGATGTGCATGTGTACACACTCACTGTAACACTAAACTAAACTAAACACTGTAGAGTGGTGGCAGACGTATCCACCACAATCTAATAATAAAGAATTTATCACATCATAGTGACCTGATATTTGTTCCCAGAAGGAAGGAAGGCCCCATGATGTGAGTGTATATTGATATTTAGGTTATAATCTGGGATTTATTTAAACACAATCTGACCAAAAAGATCTACTTTAGTTGGAACTACAACAGGTGAGTTGGTTTGTGCTGTTAAACAAGTCCCTCACATGAAATTACAGTCCCAAGCTGGCAGGCATTAACTCAGAGGCATTTTCAGTTAGTCGCTCTCACCTTTTTGTTGAAAATCAAACTTCTAAACAGGACCATGAGCGCTCGTATTGATCACAGCCTCTTGAAAACATGCGGTTTAACTCAATTTTGGATTTTTTTCTTGAGCTTTCAGTTGATCTTAGAACTGACGAGTGCTGAACATTCCATCATAGACATACCAGCATGACGCCACTGCAGAGTATCGATAGATTTTAGTCTCCACGATGTGATAAATACCCGTCGACACACGCTCGCTGTTTGTGACGGGCAAATAGGCACAAAGTCAGAGCTGTGTACGTGCGTTGGCTGCTTCACTCAGGACGGACGCAGGAAGAAAACTGAAAACTGTAAATATGGACAAAGTTACAAAACACTAAACCAACAAAATGAAACTTGGTACATATTATTTTGTATTTATTTATGTAATTTTCTGAATAAATGTTCTTTTTTCTATTCATCCACATTTAGTTCAAGGTTTGCCCTCGTTTGGTCAGTGAGTTCAGCTCCTCGTGTGTTTGACTTGGTCTCGTGTACTAGTGTTTTTCCTCTCTGACTATATTTTTGTTTAGTCCTTTTTAAATGGGCCATCTCATGCAAAATCAACTTTTCAGAGCTTTCTACCTTCTAAGAGTGATGTGTGAGCCTTGTGTAATGCAAATTTGTTAGGGCCTAGGGGCAGACTACGGCCACAGAGGCTGCATCAGAAGATTGTCCTTTTAGGAGCCTGAGTGTGAGTGAAGAGACAGACAGGAATTTGAAGTTTGGGTGAAGTATATTGAAAATAACAGAACAAAACAACAACAAACAAAAATAGAAAATAAAAAACAGTCCAGTTATTTGGTATTTTAGTCCAAGTCAATCTTAGTTCAGGTTGTGGTTAAGCTCGCCATCAATCGGTTTCTAGTTGAGTTGAGAAATTCTGCAATGCTGGAGTTCAGTCAGTCCATAGGAAAAAAAAAAACCCTGACCTTTGAATTTCGGGTTGTGATCTTCTCTCCAAACACGCCCCGGTTTGTATGAATCTGTATGGAGGCTCTAAAAGTGGATGTTGTAGGAGTCGTAGTTTGAAAGTTTATTGGAATTGTTTGCCGACGCCCAGACCGCGCCACAGCCACAGCCACAGCGGAGGAGGAGGAAGTGACACGGTGACCCCGCAACCTAAAAGGAAGTGGGGGAGATCGATAAAGCGGAATTGACCCGCAACAATAAAAGTGTCTCAAATGCAGGTTACGCTTGTATATGTTGCCAAAGTGTTTTTTAGATTGATTCGTCTTTTTTTTTTTTTCACCAAATTGCAGCGTATTTCTGCCACCCTCCCACGTGACAATGAACTAAAGCTGCTACAACGATGACGCGGCAGATACACCTGTGGCGCGTTTGACGTAGCAGAAAACTCTTCGCACTCGCCCCCCTCCTCGCTCCACCGCCTCCGCCCCGCATTGTCTGACAATTTTCACATGAACACCTAAACAAAAGCGACAGCATAAGCTCATTGTGAACACGATATAATAAGTTTATCTTCTAGTGTTTATTAATACTTTACCAATCAGTAATGTTCAGCTGACGTGGACGCGGTACTTGAGCTTCGTGCTCCTCAAAGTCCTCGTCCGACTCCAGGTCCAACACATGTGGCTGAACGCGCTGTATCTCCATGATGAATAAAAGTTTATTCCTGTCACTATCAGGGTGCACGTCTGTCTCCCCCTCCCTCCCTGAGATGGCGGAGGAAGGGCGGCTCACTCAGAGCCTACGTCACGTTTGGAGGGCGGAGCCTGTGCTTTCTCAGGACGGGCGGGGGGAGGAGCAATAGTCGGACTTTCATAGTTCCTGGTCTGTGACTGACTCCAAGAAATCAGTAAGATTTCATAACTATTGTGTAATGGATGTTCCAAAACCCAAACTGTGCTTGTTTATGTGCAGAAGATACAATGTGAAAAGAGTTATTTTGCATGAGACGGGCCCTTTAAGTACAGTTTGAATTCCAAGTCTGGGCCCACAGCTCATAAACCCTCAATTTCCTTATACCAAAATATGCCAGATTTGACCTTAGAAGAGTCCAGTGATGTGTTATGGGTTCAAAAATGATGTACAAGAACTTATGAGTTTTATCTATGACGCAACAACACTGGCAAAATGCAAACTGATGATGATTTTGATTTTGTTTAATGAAACAAACATGAATGAAGCAAAAATACAACTCCAGATATGTTTATGATGAGAGAACAACAGTCTAACATGTTTAAAAACTAATAAAAGTCAATTTTCGTAATATCTGTTCTTTAAAGGTGCACTGCAACATTTCTGCAAGGTCAACCAACTGCTGGTCTCCATGGAAATTGTGTCTAGAATGTTCCACAATTTACACTATTGATCAAAAGTTTTAGAACGTCACACTTTTTCCAGTTTTTTTACAAGCAGCTTACAGCACTATGCTTCATCACAGTTCAGATCTGTGGAGAGGAATTGTTGTATTTTTGAGCAACAGAAACATCCGTAATGAGTAAATCCTAGATGGAAATGTTTAATGAATCCGTGTATCATTCGTTCATGTGTTTTTCAAAATAAAACCAAAAATAAAAAAATGAAAAAACAACTATTTTCTTCATTATTTGTCTCCAAAACTAAAATGGAAAAAAAAGGATAATGGCTGTTTCCTGTTTTCGTGACTTAAACTGCGATGCCGGACTGAACCAGGACTAAACCGGGACCCGGACCGGGACCAAGACCAGCACTGAGACCAGGACTGAGATCGGGAACAAGATCGGGACCAGACCAGGACTGAGATCAGGACCAGCCTGGGACTGAGACCGGGACCAGATGGGGACCAGACCAGGACTGAGATCGGGACCAGACTGGGACCATACCAGGACCAGACTGGGACTGAGACCGAGACCAGACTGGGACTGAGTTCGGGACCAGACTGGGACTAGACCAGGACCAGACCAGGACTGAGACCGAGACTGGGCCAGGACCAGACCAGGACCAGATCAGGAATGAGACCAGGACCAGACCAGGGCTGAAAACGGTTTAGTCCTGGTTTAAGTCCTGGTTTAGTCCTGTTTCAGTCCTGGTTCAGTCCGGCATCACAGTTTAGGTCACATAACGAAACGGTCATTATCTGTTTTTTCCATTATTCATTTAAACACAAAATCAAAAACTGAAAAACTAATCGTTATCCCTTTTTATTTTATTTTATTTTATTTTCATTTTGGTTTTGGACTTTGGATTTATACTGCAGAATTTTTTTTTTTTTTTTTTTTCCCGTTTTCTTGTTTTTGGTTTTATTTTGAAAAAAGAATGAACGACACATGATTTTAATATCATACCATGGAACATTCCAGGCAAGGCAACAACATCTCCCTGAGGACTTAATAGTAGAAAAGCAGAAAAGTTGCGCAGTGCACCTTTAAATTAATAATCGCTATAGCAACAGTCCTGCGCTCGTGGATACAGGGTCAGATTGTGTTGGGGAGAATAGGCCGATTGTTGTCCTCAGCTCCGTCCTCCTCTCGTATCAGGGCTCGTGCCTGGCGTCAGCGGTCCCTCTCTTTCTCCTCAGCCTCTTCAGCCTCTTCGTCGTCTTCGTCGGCTTTTCCACGTCAGAGCTGCTGGTCGTACGGACGGAGAGGATCCAGAGCGCGAGGACTTTGCTGCTTGTTGTTTTTTTTAAATTTAGAGATTGTGAGGATTTAATATCGTAACCATGCAGAGTCTGAAGATGGAGCGTGGAGACGTGGTGAGGGAGCTGGATCTAACGTCGCTGAGGTCCACCATGCCAGCCGGAGGCCCCCTGCAGGTGAGCGGACGACAGTGCACACACAAAAAGTGGGTTCGTGGGTTTAAGAAAGATGAAAAGTGAGGACCGTTGCCGTAGCGATTAATAATTTAAAGCAAGTTATTGGCGTCGCTTTATAATAACGACTCAAGGTCCATTTGCACAAACCACATCCAAATTAAGACTGAACTAAACCCAATAAAACCTGGACTAAACCAGGCCAAAAAACCAAGACTAAACCAGGTAAAAAAAACAGGACTAAACCTGGACTAAACCTGGACTAAACCTGGACTAAACCTGGACTAAACCTGGACTAAACCTGGACTAGAGCTGGACTAGAGCTGGACTAGAGCTGGACTAGAGCTGGACTAGAGCTGGACTAGAACTGGACTAGAACTGGACTAAACCAGGACTAGAGCTGGACTAAACCTGGACTAAACCTGGACTAGAACTGGACCAGAGCTGGACTAAACCAGGACTAAACCAGGACTAGAACTGGACTAAACCAGGACTAAACCAGGACTAAACGAAGAATAAACCAGGACTAAACCTGGACTAGAACTGGACTAGGACTGGACTAAAGTAGGATTAAACCAGGACTAAACCAGGAGTAAACCTGGACTAAACCTGGACTAAACCTGGACTAGACCTGGACTAGAACTGGACTAGAACTGGACTAGAGCTGGACTAGACTGGACTAGAGCTGGACTAGAGCTGAACTAAACTTGGACTAAACCTGGACTAGAACTGGACCAGAGCTGGACTAAACCAGGACTAAACCAGGCCTAGAACTGGACTAGAACTGGAGTAGAACTGGACTAGAACTGGACTAAACCAGGACTAAACCAGGACTCAACCAGGACAAAACGAGGACTAAAACATGGACTAAACATGGACTAAATCAGGACTAAATCAGGACTAAGCCAGGACTAGAACAGGACTAAACCAAGTCTACATCAAGACTAAACTCAATTCAAACAGGACCAGAAGTGGAAGAGTGCCCTTATGTACTTAAAGGTTCACTGTGTAACTTTCCTTGTGGAGGGTCCATCAAATGCTTTTCTCCATGGAGGTGTTATTGCTTTGTCTGGAATGTTTCACAGTTTGGTATTAAACCAAACCAAGGTAAAGGTCAGATCTGTGGAGAGGCGTCCCTGCTCAGAGTCAGAAGGCCTGTTGTTCTAGGTATTTTTGAGCTAGAAAAACCTAATGTTGTAGTCAAGACCGAAGTCAAGACCGAGACCGAGACAAGACCAAGACTTTTAAAGGTCGAGACAAGACTGAGACCATGACCCATTGAGACCAAAATCGAGACCATCTACATCATTTTCTACATTTATTTGTATTTTACTGTTATTTTGGCACAAATATATCAATGTTTTTATAAATCTATCTCCATTTTATTTGATTAATGTTCATTTAGACCTAAAATAAGCCACACACAAAAAGTGGGTTCGTGGGTTTAAGAAAGATGAAAAGTGAGGACCGTTGCCGTAGCGATTAATAATTTAAAGCAAGTTATTGGCGTCGCTTTATAATAACGACTCAAGGTCCATTTGCACAAACCACATCCAAATTAAGACTGAACTAAACCCAATAAAACCTGGACTAAACCAGGCCAAAAAACCAAGACTAAACCAGGTAAAAAAACCAGGTAAAAAAACCAGGACTAAACCAGGCCTAAACCAGGACTAAACCAGGACTAAACGAAGAATAAACCTGGACTAAACCTGGACTAAACCTGGACTAAACCTGGACTAAACCTGGACTAGAACTGGACTAGAACTGGACTAGAGCTGGACTAGAGCTGGACTAGAGCTGGACTAGAGCTGGACTAGAACTGGACTAAACCTGGACTAAACCTGGACTAGAACTGGACTAGAACTGGACTAGAGCTGGACTAGAGCTGGACTAGAGCTGGACTAAACCTGGACTAAACCTGGACTAAACCTGGACTAGAACTGGACTAGAACTGGACTAAACCTGGACTAAACCTGGACTAGAACTGGACCAGAGCTGGACTAAACCAGGACTAGAACTGGACTAGAACTGGACTAAACCAGGACTAAACCAGGACTCAACCAGGACAAAACGAGGACTAAACATGGACTAAACATGGACTAAATCAGGACTAAGCCAGGACTAGAACAGGACTAAACCAAGTCTACATCAAGACTAAACTCAATTCAAACAGGACCAGAAGTGGAAGAGTGCCCTTATGTACTTAAAGGTTCACTGTGTAACTTTCCTTGTGGAGGGTCCATCAAATGCTTTTCTCCATGGAGGTGTTATTGTTTTGTCTGGAATGTTTCACAGTTTGGTATTAAACCAAACCAAGGTAAAGGTCAGATCTGTGGAGAGGCGTCCCTGCTCAGAGTCAGAAGGCCTGTTGTTCTAGGTATTTTTGAGCTAGAAAAACCTAATGTTGTAGTCAAGACCGAACTAATCGAGACCACAGGGTCCCGAGACCGAGACAAGACCAAGACTTTTAAAGGTCGAGACAAGACTGAGACCATGACCCATTGAGACCAAAATCGAGACCATCTACATCGTTTTCTACATTTATTTGTATTTTACTGTTATTTTGGCACAAATATATCAATGTTTTTATAAATCTATCTCCATTTTATTTGATTAATGTTCATTTAGACCTAAAATAAGCCACACACAAAAAGTGGGTTCGTGGGTTTAAGAAAGATGAAAAGTGAGGACCGTTGCCGTAGCGATTAATAATTTAAAGCAAGTTATTGGCGTCGCTTTATAATAACGACTCAAGGTCCATTTGCACAAACCACATCCAAATTAAGACTGACCTAAACCCAATAAAACCTGGACTAAACCAGGCCAAAAAACCAAGACTAAACCAGGTAAAAAAAAACAGGACTAAACCAGGCCTAAACCAGGACTAAACGAAGAATAAACCAGGACTAAACCTGGACTAGAACTGGACAAGGACTGGACTAAAGTAGGATTAAACCAGGACTAAACCAGGAGTAAACCTGGACTAAACCTGGACTAAACCTGGACTAAACCTGGACTAGACCTGGACTAGAACTGGACTAGAGCTGGACTAGAGCTGGACTAGAGCTGGACTAGAGCTGAACTAAACTTGGACTAAACCTGGACTAGAACTGGACTAAACCAGGACTAAACCAGGCCTAGAACTGGACTAGAACTGGAGTAGAACTGGACTAGAACTGGACTAAACCAGGACTAAACCAGGACAAAACGAGGACTAAACATGGACTAAACATGGACTAAATCAGGACTAAATCAGGACTAAGCCAGGACTAGAACAGGACTAAACCAAGTCTACATCAAGACTAAACTCAATTCAAACAGGACCAGAAGTGGAAGAGTGCCCTTATGTACTTAAAGGTTCACTGTGTAACTTTCCTTGTGGAGGGTCCATCAAATGCTTTTCTCCATGGAGGTGTTATTGCTTTGTCTGGAATGTTTCACAGTTTGGTATTAAACCAAACCAAGGTAAAGGTCAGATCTGTGGAGAGGCGTCCCTGCTCAGAGTCAGAAGGCCTGTTCTAGGTATTTTTGAGCTAGAAAAACCTAATGTTGTAGTCAAGACTAATCGAGACCACAGGGTCCCGAGACCGAGACAAGACCAAGACCTCTGAGAGTCGAGACCAAGACAAGACCAAGACTTTTAAAGCTCGAGACAAGACTGAGACCATGACCCATTGAGACCAAAATCGAGACCATCTACATCGTTTTCTACATTTATTTGTATTTTACTGTTATTTTGGCACAAATATATCAATGTTTTTATAAATCTATCTCCATTTTATTTGATTAATGTTCATTTAGACCTAAAATAAGCCACACACAAAAAGTGGGTTCGTGGGTTTAAGAAAGATGAAAAGTGAGGACCGTTGCCGTAGCGATTAATAATTTAAAGCAAGTTATTGGCGTCGCTTTATAATAACGACTCAAGGTCCATTTGCACAAACCACATCCAAATTAAGACTGAGCTAAACCCAATAAAACCTGGACTAAACCAGGCCAAAAAACCAAGACTAAACCAGGTAAAAAAAAAACAGGACTAAACCAGGCCTAAACCAGGACTAAACGAAGAATAAACCAGGACTAAACCTGGACTAGAACTGGACTAGGACTGGACTAAAGTAGGACTAAACCAGGACTAAACCAGGAGTAAACCAGGAGTAAACCTGGACTAGAGCTGGACTAGAACTGGACTAGAGCTGGACTAGAGCTGGAATAAACCTGGACTAGAACTGGACTAGAACTGGACCAGAGCTGGACTAAACCTGGACTAAACCTGGACTAGAACTGGACTAAACCTGGACTAAACCTGGACTAGAACTGGACTAGAACTGGACTAGAACTGGACTAGAACTGGACTAGAACTGGACTAGAGCTGGACTAGAGCTGGACTAGAGCTGGACTAGAGCTGGACTAGAGCTGGACTAAACCTGGACTAGAACTGGACTAGAGCTGGACTAAACCAGGACTAGAACTGGACTAGAGCTGGACTAAACCTGGACTAGAACTGGACCAGAGCTGGACTAAACCAGGACTAAACCAGGACTAGAACTGGACTCGTCATGACAAATCCAGACGCGTTTGTGCACTTTTATTCTTCAAACTTCAACCACATGTCGCTGTAAGAAGTTTACTGCAGCAGTTGTAATGAAATAGGATCGCGCCCGTTGAGTGTCAGACCTCAGAGTCCAAGCCCCTTTAAAACAAGACCGAGACAAGACTGAGTCCGAACACAGTCGAGTCTGAGACGAGACCGAGACCGTAAAAAAAAGAAAAGGTCTTGAGGTGACTTTCGAATACCACAACACTAACAAAACCATTTTAACTTCTTAGGTTCTTTTTAAAGACAATGCAGTAAAGTGTGTTTACCTTGTTGACATGTTTCGGCTGCTGCATCTTCAGAACTGTCCCCGTGTTGGTGGTGACGTGTCGTATATCAGCTGTTGTTACTTCCTGTAGTCGTGGTCAGACCTGATGGACCTGGCAGGTCGCTCAGACTGACC